AAGCTTCCATACAAAAAACTTTATCGAATTTAATAAAGATTTTGAAATTGAAGCGTAACAAAAATCATCATTATCATCAACATTTGGGGGGAATCATCAGTCGAAATGAAACTGAATTTCAAATGCAAACGATGGTAAATCCAATCTTCATTTGGGTGTAAAGAAAAAAGGGGGAAAGAGAGTCAAACAAAACAAATTTATTTTTATTCGTTATGCTGGTCAGAAAGATTTTGAAATGCCGGCCTGAACAACAACCACCAAAAAATCCCATAATACGTCTTGGATGTTTATTCGATTGTTGTTGTTGCTGGGAATTCTGATGATGACTGGAAATTTGCTATGCATTTTTGGTTGGAGTGGGGGATTTATTTTTTGGTATTGAATTGAATTTGAAACACCTTTTATTTGAATCTTTAAATGGTGATGAAGACGATTTATGATGCGGTAAAAAAAATGAAATGAAGAAATGATGGAAAGAAAAAAAAAATAATGGGAAAAAAACGGAGGCGTCAAAAAATAATTTAAATCGTAATTGAAAAAAAAAAAATTGTTTGGGAAAACGGGTCGAACTTTTCATAACCTTCACCAGGTGGTGTGCACTGTAAATTCTTGAAATCGGTAGGAATTTTTATATGAATTGGGTTGTCTATGTTCTGAGTAAATTACTAGCAGGTTAGGAACTTCAACATAGAGAAAATAAAATGGAACCTTTATATGAGGAGCTATGTAAAAACATGGATCGATAAAGACAATATTTTGGAAAAGAAGTATTTTATTGAGCAAAAATCCGTAGTGGCCTTTGGACCCTGAAAATACCTAAAATCTGGATGGATGTTTAAAGGGGGAGCTATACGCATCTTGAGTTATATTTATCGAAAATTGTGTATTTGACTCGGGTCCTACTTTTCGTCCCCTTCACAATGTGTGTGCGCATTCAAAATCCTTTAAAAATAGGTAGGAACATGTTTATGAATTCAGGAATTCCGATACAGAGAAAATAAAACGGGAACTCCGTATCGATATTGAAACATTTTCGTTGAAGAAGTTTATTTATTTATTTTTTTTTTGTTGAATAAAAATCCGCTATTCCAAATTAACGTGACTTACGTCTCAAAATGCGCTTAGGACCCTGGAAATGCTTAAAATTCGGAGGGATCTTTAAATGGGGGCTATACCTAAAGATGTCCATAGAAAATAATGTTTTCCCATCCTTCTTGACCATCCACCCTCCTGAACTTGGAATGCCAAATTGTAGCCACTTTGTTGGGAAAAATAAACCCTCAATGTACAGAAAAGGTGTGGGGCTTTTTATATAGCAAAGATGGGACGATATTGATAATTGTTGGTAGGCATTATCAACCTACACAGGATTTCATTACGGTGGGCCGAGGTTCCTTTTTGTATTGAACCTGGGCCCACCGTAATGAAATCCTGTTTAGGTTCATTGGAAAATCTATCATAATCGAAAATATCAAATGATGATAAATTTTGAAAATTCTGTAGAAAACTGTATTTAATGAGATCTTTGGACCAGAAAAATTTTCAAAGATTTTCTAAAGACAAATTTCTCCCCCAATTTCTTATATATGCAAAAGTCCCGAGCATCCCTTCTCTTTCCCATAAAAACAATCCTTTCAAAAATATAAATCCCCACCAGTTTTTCAAATCCATTACCCTCCCAGCAAACCTTCACTATTTTCCCTGCATTTCGCTCCCATTTCCTTCCTTTCTCTCCTATCCCAAAACGAAACATCTTTAATAGTTTCCTTAAGGGGATATCTTCTTCTATGTCTATCCTCCTCCTCCTATCCATTTAAGGAAATGCCAGCCAAAACAATTCCTTTCCAAGAATTGAAACATCCATCCATATAACAACCAACCATTGATCTCTATTGCCAAGCGGAGGAGCTAAGAAGAAATTCTTCCTCTTCTTCTTTTATTTTTCTTCATTATCGTTGTTGTTGTTGTTTGGTTGCTTATTCCGCTTTGTGTGATTTGTATGCAACTCATGTTACAAATTCTACACATTACAATTATTGTTGTTGTTACTGCTGGTATTTGAAAAAAATTCTGTGTTGTTGTTGTAGTGGTTAAAAAATTTATAGGAAGGTCGTTACGGAAGTTTTGGAGGAATACCACCACAATTGTATGCGGATAAAAGAGCAAATGGATAAAATTATACATAGGGGTGGATAAAAATGTTATCCATAATGATGGATAAAACTATTATCCACTAATGAGGATAAAAGTTGTATCCACGTAGTAGTTAACAAATTCATAGGAAGTTCGTTGCGGAAGTTTGACGGAATATTACACAAGGGAATTGCGGATAAAGAAACAAACATGGATAACAAAAATAATCCATAAAGGTGGATAAAACTATTATCCACTAATGGGGATAAAAAGCCCATAAAAAAATATTTTATATAAGACCACGTCTCAGACGTCTTCAAAAAATTATTTTTAAACCAGTGAGCGGAACTCAAACTTTCTGCGGATGTTTGTTCCGAGCCTGGGAGATATTTCGTGATATTTGCACCCACTTGCCCAACTAGAGGTCAACAGCACCTCTTCCTTACACTGACATATATTCCGAGTATTACTAATATTCAGTACAGCCCTTCCAAGTACTTGTCCAGATTCCCTTCACCGTGAGTTGTGTTGTGATGTTCGGCTTATAATTGTGACATATAGAGCGACAAAACAAAAGTTTCGGTCCACTTCATCCTAAAATTATTATCTGATCATCACCGAAAATTATAGGCTTTGTCCTTGACGACCACAACTGGAATCTCATGGAAAATTTCAATGTGATCAGCGCCATGTTTCCGCCCTCTAGTGTGAAAATAATAACTAAATAATATCTCAGTACGTAAGCACCTGTAAATATTTAAGTGTAACTCCCGCATCCGAGAACATAGGGTAATACAATTGGTATCAATTTAAAGGTCAACCATTCCTCTTGGATATACTATCAACATCTCGGATCTATGTCCATCAGGAGCCATAGAATACAAATTTTGTAATTTTTCACACAAAAGTCAGGATCCATTTGACCCGCTAAATATTGAACGATCTTTATCAAAACCGGCATACTTATTCATTGTGCCTGATCCCCTTCTCCATGTAAAAATTCGCGAAGTTTGGTTCATAATTGCGGCCTCTAGAGTGACCAGAAAAAACGATAAAAATTAAGTATTTGGTCCATATCATCCCCTAGATATTAACCGATCTTTACCAAAAACAATAGGGGTCTTCATTGGGTAGAACCCATCCTACATGCAAAATTTCGTGAAGATTAGTCCATAACATAGTTGTGTTGGGTATAACAAGCCTCGAAGTTCCTTGAAAGATATTTAAAAAAGTCCACAACTCCAAGGTCCTTAAAAAAATATTTGCAGTAAAACCACGTCTTTAAGGACCCTACAGTTCTTTCGTAGTAAAATCACTCCTGTAAGGTCCTTGAACAAAATTATTCGCAATAAGGTCCTTGAAAAATATTATTCGCAATAAGGTCCTGTAAGGTCCTTGAAAAAAAAATTATTCGCAATAAAGTCCTGTAAGGCCCTTGAAAAAATTATTCGCAATAAGGTCCTTGACAAAATCTTTACTAAAATCACGCCTCTATGGCCATTGAAAAAATTATGTTAAATAAACCCACGCCGCCTTTAAGGCCCATGAAAAAACTATTTGCAGTTGAACCACGCCTCTGAGGTCTCTGAAAAAATATTTACAATAAAACCACGCCTATGAATTACTTGAAAAAAAAAAAATTATTTTAACTAAGACCAAGCCTCTATGGCCCTTGAAAAATTATTTCACAAAATATACGCCTCTGAGGCCCTTGATATAAAGGGACTTTGGTGGACCGAAAATGTATATGGGGGCGATATCTAAATCTGAACCGATATTCACGAAACATAACACACATCATTCTAGACCTAATTCATTACGCTGTGCCAAATTTCGTGTAAATCGAATGATATATAGGGACTTTGGTGCACTATTTACTTAAATTCGGACGAAAATATATATGAGAGCTATATCTAAATCTGAACCGATTTTCAGGAAACTTAACACACATCATTCTGGGCTCAATTCAGCACGTTATGCCAAATTTCGTGCAAATCTAAAGATATTAAGGGACTTTGGTGCACCATTTACATAAAATCGGACGAAAATATATGTGAGAGCTATATCTAAATCTGAACCGATTTTTCCCAATTTCAATAGAGTTCGTCCCTGGGCCAAACAAGTGAGCTGTGCCAAATTTCATCCAATTCGGATCATAAATGCGACCTGTACTTTGTTCACAAAAATACATGGACGGAAAGACGGACATGCGTAAATCGACTCAGAAAGTGATTCTATGCATATTCTCAATCTCGTTTCCATTTCCCTGTTACAAACATATGCACAAAGACATAATACCCTGTGGTGAGGGGTATAAAAAGCCATGCCTCTAAAGTCTCTAAAAAATTTGGCAATAAAAAACCACACCATTGAAGTCCTTGAAAATATTTTACTAATAAACCCACGCAAGTCCTTGGAAAATTTAATTTAATTAAATCCACGCTTTTGATGTTCTTGAAAATATTATTTGCAATACCTCCAGCCTCTAGGTCCTTTAAAAAATTATTTCAAAAAAATCCAATTTTTTTTTTAATAAATTAATTTTTTAAATTATTTTAACAACCTCAAATTCATTTTCAAAATGTTTCCCCTCCTCCATTTCTTATTTCTTATTTCATAAATAAAATATTCTAAATATTTTCATATCATATATATATATGATTATTAAAAAAAACAATATTTTGTGTTGTTTTGATTTTTTTCCGAACGAAGAAAAAAAAACAACGACACCACATTTAGAATAAATAACAAGAAATGTGGCCAAAAGGAAAATACAAAAACAAAATCAAAGTAAAAAACAAAACAAAATAAAAAATTCAAAAAAAAAAAATAAAATACAACAAAAAAATCGAAATAATTATATTTACCGTGAGCCTTCTTCTTTCTGGATTTCGGCGCCATGTCTACGAGTTTTCAAGCTCAACTCGTAAAACAACAACAACGACAACGCGTTAGTAAAAATGCAAGCAGCAAAAGCAACGAACTGCTCGTCGCTATGAATTCAAGATGAGAATCGAGGGAATGGACGGATGAAACGTCCCAAGGAAGGCGGCTATATGTTGTTGAATAATCGGCGATGATGGTAGACAAACGTTGGCAGCGGCGACGGCGATGACGATGATTCCTCTTTGCTGGACTTCTTGGAGGATGGTTTCAGTTCAGTTGAATGTGTGTTTGCCTGTGTGTGTATCCACAATCACCCAAACAATCAGTTGTTGCTGTTGTTGTTTTTTCTTCTTCTTCTGTTTTTGGCCAACAACAAAATGGGTTCAGGCCATCAAAACAGGCTGGCTTGCCTGTTCGCTTAATAATTACAAAGAAAGGTTGTGTGTTTTTTGTTGTTTTTCCTTTTTTCTTCTTCTTCTTGTTTTTCTTCTTGCTCCTTCTCTTATGTTATGTTTATTCTTTGTTTTGTTCTTCAATTCTTGTGGGCCACATGACCGACCAAGGCAAGAGTTACGACAAGATTAAAGCCTTTGGGGGGGACAAGCTACACAACAACAACAACGACGAAACGAATTGTTGCACGATCTTTGTTGCTGTTGTTGTTGCTGGTGTTGAGAAATGTGAATGTGACGTTGTCCTCAGTTTCCAGGGCCACGAAGGGTATAAAAATTGAAAACCGGATTTTTATTTTTGCTGGTTTTGTAAACAGAGGTAGAGCTACTCCTCTCTTCTCCGGATTCTCTTCTGTGGATGTCTCTTCAAATTGTTGTTTTTGTTGCTCTTGATGATGACGATGAAGATATGGATGATAAAGCTGGACAGGCAAGCAGGCGAGCAGGCCAAGGCAACTTAACAATGGGTTTGGTGCGCAGGCCCAACAGCTTCAGTGGGGGTTTTAAATGACCAACCAAACGAACGACGGATCGACCGGGCTCTAAACTGGACACTCTCTTTCTCAGAGTAGTGGAGTGCAGAAGTTATGGCCTCAGTGGCGTCAATGTTTTTCGATGTTGTTGTTATAGGTCTTTGGTTCGGCACAAAGGGTTGGATCCTTGTGGCAGGGAAAAAATTGCAATATTTTTTGTTGTTGTTTTTGTTGTTGCTTGTTAGTGTAGAATTGTGGCATAAACCTTTGGTTTATGGGATCTTTGTGTTGTTGTTCTGGCAGTTCGCAAGATTTATGCTGAAATTTTAAGTTCACAGCTTTTTTTCTTTCAGGTTCTTTTTTTGTGTTGTTCTCCAAGGTGTTTTGTTGTTGTTCTTGTAGCTGCAGCTTTTGTAAAGATGGAAGTGATGTGATTGTTGTTATGCTTCCTCTTCTTATTTTGTTTTTATAAAAAAAATCTTATTATTCTTGTTGTTGGTTGGTATAAGAACCTGGTCTATAGCAGGCCTGTGGTGTGAGCTCGTGATCACGTTGAGTATAATTATAGACGAAAGGTGGCGATATGTACGACGATGATGACGATACCGAAGAGGTTCATTCAGCCTCCTCTGGTTCCCTTGGGAAGGCAGGGGCAGACAATATGCACACGCAAAGGGTTTTAACTAAATGGCGAGCAAAACAAAACGAAGAAAAAAAAACTTTGCAGAACGTAGGAAAAAAATCAGGTGAAATTTAATCCACTGGGGAGGAGAACTAATGTAAAGCTCCAACAACACAACGAACAGGGGGAAATAGTTTGCCAACACCCCAGCAGCTTTGGTTCGGAACGCTTAACGCGTTTTGAATGGTGGTGTTAGTGTTGTTGGTATTGTTGTTTTTTTTCTTTTGGCAGGTATTACGTTAACATTTAACGCTTCGTGTGATTTGTTGTCAATGTTGATGATGATGAAAACGGTGATGTTGTTGGAGATAGGTTTCCTGGTAGCTACCTTTTTGGGGGCTACGGGGTGAATCCGAAAGGGTAATAATAGCTGTTATTTGTTGTAACACACACACACGCAAAAAACGAGGGGGCTTAGAACGTTTTTGTGGTTTCTTTGCCAGCTAAAGTTGTTGTAGTTTAAGATTTTGTTGGTTTTCTCTATGGTGTTGTTGTTTTGTTCTTGTTGTTATATTAGCAGATTATTTGTTGTATGCAAACACAAATATATGCACATAGATATATTAATTTTGTTTTTCTGTTTTATTTTTGTTATAATTTTCTTAGTTGTTTATTTTTCTTTCTCTTTTGTTTTGAACGGAGATTTTTTGCGCTTAGGTTTCAAATGGCGCGTTTTTTTTTAATTATTTATGTTTTTATTGATTTTTTCAATGAATTTTCTGTACCAAAAAAAATGTAAATAATTATAATTAAAAAAATATATATATTTTTATTTGCCCTTTTATTTTATTGATTTATATATTTTTTTTAATTCAAATATTTATAATAAAAAATATATATATTTTTTAAATTCACACTTTTAGTTTAAATTTGTTTTCGTTAAGAAAAATTAAACTAAAAGTGGAGCGTTTTTTAATTATTCATTTTAAATGATTTTTTTTTTATTTTCTGTACGCAAAAAAGTGCAAAATTATTATTATTATTTTATTATAAATTTTATTTTTAAAAATGTAAATAATTAGAAATTTTTTGTCACTTTTAGTTTATATTTGTGTATGTTCTTTTCGCTTGTTTTTGAAATGGATGGTTTCATTTATATATATTTTTTTCTAATTATTTTCAGTACCAAAAAATACAAATATTTATTATTAAACATTTTTTTTTAAATTAGTCACTTTTATTTCAAATTTTATTATTAAAAAAATACAAATTATTGTTATAGAAATAAATATATATTTTTTTTAATTTGTCACTTTTTGTTTAAAATTTTCCCATTTTGTTTAATTGTTGTTTTTAAATAAAATATTAAAAAAGCAGATTTATTTTTTAATTGACACTTTCAAATTGATTTTTTATTATTTTATTTATGTATTTTTTTTTTTAATTTTTTCTCTTTATTAAAAGAATCATTTTTTATCTTCATTTTCGTACTTTGTTTATTAATTAAATTTGTGTCACGATTTTTTTCCAATTTTTGTCTGTCGAAATTGGTATGTTTTTTATTTATTTTTTAACACTTAAATATTGCCTTAAATGCCAGGCAAATATTTCCCGTTTTTGTCACACAGGAATTGGGATTTTTTTATTTTTATTTAATTTATTTGTAATTATTTTTTAATTTATATATTTTTATTTTATATTTAAAAAGTGAAATTTGTTTTTTTAATAATGCCACAAATTCTTCTTCTTCCAATGGAAATTTTTTTTTACATAATATTTATTGTAAAATTAAAAAAAAATTGTCACCAGAGTTTCATTGAGTACAACAAAAAAATATTTTTAGATTTTAATCTTAAAAATCTTAACTTTTTTGTATTTTACAATTTATTGAAAAATTATTAAAAAAATAGTATTTCCTGGTCCACCAACACGTCTCTAAGCTCCTTCAAAAAAAACTATTTGCTTTAAAATCAAACCTCTAAGGTCCTTGGATAAAAGTTATTGAAAACAAATCCAAGCGTCTAAAGTTCGTAAATAAATGTTTGCAGCAAAACCACGACAAATGTCTTTCCAAATTTTTTTTAAATTTCACCTTAAAAAATTATTATTATTTAATTTTTTTATTTACTGTAAATTTTTGAATTTTTTATTTTTTTTTTTTTTTGAGACAAATAACAAAAAAAGATATTTTTAGTTTTTTTTTTTTATAAAATTATTGTTTTTAATAATTTTGAAATAATACAAGGCCTCTGGGGTGGTTTATTTAGGACCTTCGAAAAAATATTTTAATTCAATCCACGCGTCTAAGGACTTTTGAGAAAAATATTGAGACTTTTTTAATGAAATTAAATTCTGTGATAAATCTAAATCTTTGTTTTTGTAGATTTGGAAAAAAATTTTGAATTTTTTTTTTTTTTTCAATTCTGTATTCGAATATAATATGAAAATATAGAACTCATATTGCTGTATAATTTCGCCCTTCTTAACAAAAATATTATCCATGAAACAATTTTTTAATCCGTTAAGAATTTGTTAGAAATTTGCTTATTTTTTCAATATTTAGCTGGTCAAATGTACATATAGCCCAAAGGAATTGCTGACCATATAAGAAAGTTGAGGTACTGTGGTAGCTGTATAAAGTTTCATATGGTCGGTTCCTTCCAATTAACTATTAACAATATATTATTTTTAACATTAAATTTTCTAAATTTATTTTCAAAGGATTCTTGGATTAATGGACATTTTCTGGGAATGTTTTTTTTTTTTTTTTAGAGAATTTTCCTCAAGTCACGATTTGGATTTGAAACCAATAATCACAAATTTTCATAGACTGGATGTCAGACATCTTTCCATGATATAGAATAGATTCTTTTAAGGACCTATAGAGATACAATCAAAATTTTCTAAAGGATTTCTTAAGATCAGTTTTTTTATGGATTTTTATACCCTTCACCACACTGTGGTACAGGGTATTATGTCTTTGTGCATATGTTTGTAACAGGCAAAACGAAACCAGATAAACACATGGTTCCTTTTGAGAATATGCATAGAATCACTTTCTGAGTCGATTTACGCATGTCCATCCGTCCGTCCATGTATTTTTGTGAACAAAGTACAGGTCGCATTTATGATCTGATTTGGATGAAATTTGGCATAGGTCACTTATTTGGTCCAAGGACGAACCCTATTGAAATTGTGAAAAATCGGTTCAGATTTAGATATAGCTCCCATATATATATTCGTCAGATTTAAGGTAAATGGTGCACCAAAGTCTAAATATGTCTTTCGATTTGCACGAAATTTGACACAGCATAATGAATTAGGCCTAGAATGATGTGTGCTGAGTTTCATGAAAATCGGTTCAGATTTAGATATAGTTCCCATATACTGTTTCGTCCGATTTTATGTAAATGGTCCACCAAAGTCCCTATATATCTTTCGATTTGCACGAAATTTAGCATATCGTATTCAATTAAGTCTAGAATGATGTGTGCTGAGTTTGGTGAAAATCGGTTCAGA